CTACTGACAGGACAGGCTGCACTTTTTAAACTATGAAAAGCAGAAACAGGAAAGAGAGATGAGCTGGCTGGACTAAGCGCCCTTTAGGACTTGATCTCTGACGGGCATGGAGTCAGACTCCAACCGTGTTCTCCCACGTGGGGCTGCGTCCTGCCCTGCTCAGCACCCTGCCCCTGCCCGAGAAGAGGGGAGCCTGCCCACAGGGGTGAGTTCAATAAAGTGCAAAAGGAAATTTGGGAGCAGCGCTTTGCTATGTGACAGACTCCTGTCATTTGCTGAATAAATAAATATAAAATTAGAGTAAATGTTCTACTTTCACAGCACTACTGTGATAGAGTTAGTTCTATAAAAATGACAAACACCAGAACAATCATGAGAGGGGCTTAAATTCTAACAAACCTGTTTTCTTAGTTTAAAGCTTTAATATGTTACCTACTGGACAGGTCGATGAAAGTGGATGTTCTCCTGTATGGAGAGCGGTCAGAATAGGAGCCGATAGGAGGTTTTTTTATTTGTTGAACCTTAAACCCAACAGAACCTATTTCCAAATTATTTTCCTATTCTTATAGCTATAAGTCTATAGACACATAAATCAGATCATGTTTTGATAATCAGCTAATCAGGACTTATTTCCAACAGAAATAAATAAAATTTACTATCCCTTCTATATTTCCTCCAGTACTATCTTTTAATTGTGTACAAACAGAGCCCCTTCATAGGATTAACAGAGGTCTATTAATAGACCTTTAATCATGGAAGAAAGGCATGAGTATAGAACATACACCTTCTGTTTGTTTGTATTTATTTATTCATTTAAAAACATATTTTTATTGATTTCTGAGAGGAAGGAAGAGGGAGAGAGATAAACGTCAATGACTAGAGAGAATCATTGATCAGCTGCCTCTTGCATGCCCTCCACTGGGGATTGAGCCCACAACCCGGGCATGTGCCTTTGACAGGAATCGAACCTGGGACCCTTCAGTCTGCTGATGGGTCAGCTCAGGCTGAAGTTCTATCCACTGAGCCAAACCGGCTAACAAGGGACCACTTTGAAGCTAATCAATGATTCTCTCTCATCATTGATGTTTCTATGTCTCTCCCTTCCTCTCTCAAATCAATAAAAAAGAAAGAAAGAAAGCTACGAAAACAGTTACTATACTGTTGTTCTGGTAGTTAGCTTGTAAAATGTTTGTAAAAAAAAAACCCCAGAGAAACACACTTCAAATTACCATGCACACTTTACAAAAACACATCCAGACCAACTAATTAATGATGAGGAATATGAATTGGTATATGAAAGGTGGATAGAAAGAAGTATGTAATTTTTATGCCTATTTCAGTTCTCTGCATAATGTAACCTTTAAAAATATTTCTTAACATGTAAACTTTATGGGGGAATGAGGTATGGGAAAATGGTTAGGAAGTTTACCCAAAGCTTACAAACTCACATGTCCTCGACTGTAATGATGTTATTGATGAGCTGGCAGTAGGACACATCCCACAGAGCCTGTTTGTCCCACAACTCATAGGCAACAGTAGCAGCTCCCAAAAGCATTCTTTTCCAATTAGTGGGACACACATCAATAGTTACATGCTGCCTAACCCTTTCCAGGTAAATCTGCAAAAGTAGATCGCGTAAGTGCCATGATAACAACTGTTGGAAATGACAGATTTCATCCCTATTTGAAATTCCCCCCTTTTTTGTTTTGTTACTCTTCACCTGAGGATATTTTTTCCATTCATTTTTATTTTATTTTTTATTTTTTTCCATTGATTTTTAGAGGGAGTGAAAGGAAGGGGGGGGGTGGCGGCGGAGAGAGAGAGAGAGGCAGAGGGAGAAAAACATCAATATGAGAGAGACACAGTGATTGGTTGCCCCCGCCCTTGGCTGTCTGGGACAGGGAATAGAGCCTGCCAGCCAGGTAAGTGCCCTTGACCAGGAATGGAACCTGTGACCTGTTAGTGAGCGGGCTGGTGCTCTAACTCCTGAACCACATAGGCCAGTGTTAAAGACCTTTTATACTTAGGTTCTACAGACACGGCTTGGCCAGCCAAAGCCAGAGGCCAAGTCATAGTTGTAAACCAGATACTTCTGTGGCCTACTTTGTCCATGTGAACTTTCAGCCCAATTTTTGGTCACAGGAATGAGTAGACATCTTAGGAAAGGCCGTCCTGATGCAATGCATGGGGCCATTATTACATTTCCTCTTGTAAAGGGAGCATAGAGAGGCCCAGTACTGATTCGTTGCTCAACAAATACTTGAGTGCCTACAGGTGCAATGCTTCCTGCCTGGCTTGTATTTATATGTGATCTCACATACACTGGAATATGCAAATCCCTGGTGATGCCGGAATTATGTCTATCTCTTCACAGTCATTAGCCCTTTTGGGTACAAGCTGGAGATAAAATTGGTGCCCGGGGCCGCCTCCCAGTGGCTGCTGTGGGAGCAGCAGGACAGGCAGTGCAAACAGGTGAGCTTCAGGCTGTTCTGTGCACCTGCCCGTGTTCCTGTCTTAGTGTCTCTGTGAGGAACACATACAAACCAAGGACAGTCCTCCTCATGCCCCTCATGCTCACATCTCCACGATCATGGTGGGCACTATGTCTCTGTCTCACATAATCTGAGGGGCACTCAATGCTGCTGGTCTCTAGGAGGTGACAGAGCTGCCAGGCTCTGTGTCCCTGGGCTCCTCCAACCCTGCCAGGCAGCCGGGGAGGCTCATGATGCCTTTGACACGCACTCAATGTCTCCTCTACAAAGAACTGGGCAACGTAACAGCCCAGGAGGTTATAGAGCTAAGCTGTGATTTCTTATTACCTCAGAGCATGCCTTTCAGAAGAGTGTTATGCCATTTGACAAAAAGAAAAAAGTTCAATTTAAAGAAATATGTTTACTGCCTGAAGATTTTTGACAGCAGAGATTTGCCAAACTCAACTGTGTTTTCAAAAACAAATGCTTATGGAACATGACGTGTTTTGAGGGAAATGCTGTGCCCATTCAAACTCAGCATTCTCAGCTGTCCTAAGAAGGAGCTACCTGCAAGGTTCAACTCTAGTTGATGGGCATCATTAGAGGCCCTTGTTCAACACCGACAACCTCCCAACTTCCGTCCCCTTTACTGGGAGACGCAGTATGCGCCATTACTCCTTCATTCATCCCACCTGCCCTCCCGCGTCAATGGAATTGGGATTCTCTTCTCGCCGAAGCTGACCTTCTATCAGTGAAGTCGGTCCCAGCCCACTTCTGCAGAACGCTGTTCCACACTCGCCCCTTCTTGAAGAATCCCCTGTCTGCCCAGATTCCCCCAATAGGAATGTGTTTACCTATGTCCCCTCCTGCCACACCAAATCCTAGAACGCGTCCTCTCATCTGGCTCAGGGTAAACGCCCTGATGCTGCTTCTCACCTCCCATTCTCTCCTTCACCACTTCAGTCTGCTCCTGGCGCTGTCCCTCCACTGAAACTGCTATTGCTAAGGGCATCGGAGCCTTCGCAATACAAACAGAGCTCTTCATCTCACTGCCCACTTCCCCAGCTATCCCTAATAGCACAGGGGGCACGGCCATTTGCCTAGTTGCTGGGACCAAAAACCTCCACTTGAGCCCGCCTGCTCCGATCTGCTAGCAAGTCTTGCCTCCCCTTCTCCGTGGGAATCTGACCGCTTGCCAGTGCATTGGGCACCTCTCACCTGTATGACTCTCACTGACTCCTGACTTCACTGCCTCCACTCGGACTTCCAACAACACTCTCTTCTCCCCAGGAGTCAGAGTAGCCTCTTTCCTTAAGAGCACTTCACCCCCAACTCAATGTCTGCCAAAGGTTTCCCATCAAACACATATCATGTAACTTCTTCCCATGGCCTGCAAGCCTCCAGGCCCTCTGAGACAGGATATTGCCCATCTGTGACCTCATCTTCTTTCCTCACTCCACACTCTGACTACACGGCCACACCTCACTGTTCCCTGAACACTCAAACCCTGTGCCCATCTCAGAAGCGAGCCTCGGGCCCCCTGCCCACAAGGCCAGAGCTCATCTTCCTCAGCTCAGCCAGGTCACGGTTCCAATGTTTCCTCTTTAAAGAGGCTCTTCGCCACTAGAATGTAAGCTCTTGGGGTTGGGTGGGGAGTTGGGGGAAGAAACCAAAATCTCCCCTCATGTCTTTAATAGCAATTGTTTGTGATGGAAACTGCAATGGTAACACTTTCAATCCCAACGATTATTTAGCTCCACTGTGTGTGGCTGACTCCCTTTCATAGCTTCTCTTAATAAAGTTCTGAGGATCATGTCAGGAATCTGCTTTTATGTGCAAAGCGGGACCATCGCCTGTGCCCGGGACAGAGAAGCAGCCTCTGGAAGAGTTGTCTTACCAAGGTCACAATCGCACATTCAGCGGTGAGGTGTTCAGCACTGAAAAGAGCACAGACAAATCTGTAGACAATCTTCAGGTCAGGGTCATGCTGAAAGTGGTCCTTTGTAATTACTTCCTGCTAAAAAGAGAAAAAAGGCAATATACACTGAGTGTATACTGTACCCCATCAGTACTTCGTTGGGCCACCTTTTGCCTTCAATACTGCGGCAATTTTTTTTGGCAATGACTTCATGAGATGTTGAAAGGTGATGCAAGGAATCTGACACCATGCCTGATGAATAGCACTGTCCAGTTCTGTGAGATTTGATGGTTGTGGAACCAGCTGCCTAATGTCTCTTTTAGCTTTGTCCCACAATTGTCAATTGGATTGAGATCTGGTGATTGTGGGGACGACCTAAGCAAGGTAAAGTCTCCCTCATGTTCTTGAAACCACCCCTCCACAATGCGAGCACCATGGCATGGCTCATTGTCTTGTTGGAAGAAGCCATCTCCATTGGGATACGCCATCAACATGATAGGATGAACCTGATCAGCAACGATACTTAGGTATGTTGTGCTATTCAGACGTTTATAATGAGCTGGCCCTCTAGGAACTTCAGCGGAAAATTATAGTTAATTTGCCTACAAACATCAGGTGGTCATAATAATCTGAACACTCAGTGTAAGTACCTAGTGAAGGAAAATATACATAAGAACTCTCATGCTAGCAGCCTTCTACTTTGCCCACCTGTCCCTAAAATAATTTTGATTGGGTGACATATCTTTTAGTCTTTTTAAAAAATAATGACTTTTTTTAAATTTTTATTTCAGAGAGGAAGGGAGAAGGAGAACGAGATAGAAACATCAATGATGAGAGAGAATCTTTGATCAGCTGCCTCCTGCACACCCCTTACTGGGGATGGGGCCCACAACCCAGGTATGTGCGCCCTTGACCAGAATTGAACCCAGGACCCTTCAGTCTGCTGACTGATGCTCAATCCACTGAGCCAAACCAGCTAGTGTTAGTCATTATTGTTTCTTGTTCTATGAATTACCTCTTTTGCTTATATTTCTATTTAAGTTCCTGGGATGTGCATGTGTGTGTATGCATTACCAAATTTTTTTGAAAACTATGTTTTAGAATTTTAAATGATATTTCAAAAAGAATCTGGTTGTTAGATTTTGGATAAGGTGTCATTTCTTGTACTGAATTTTTTAAAATGTATAATCCATCCATGTGAG